TTTCATCCTATGGAGCTATAAGTGATTAAAAATATTCATGGTTTTATGCATATGTAAATGTTGGCGTACGCGCACGTTAAGTCGCGCGAACGGAAAATTAAGGTACCTGACATTCAACCTTGACCTGAAGATTATGCTCACTCAATATGATTCAGAAATGACGAATGGTTAAGATGATATGGGCTCATCAACTTTTTGATGAAAGAAAGATGTGGGGGTCAGAAAAAACAATTTTTTGACCATGATGACTATGAGGCACCATCTGTTAACTTATTATTTAGCAAAAAATAACATGGCTTTTTACGTTATATATTTATATATTATTTTATATAATATATAATATTTTATATAATATATAATTTTTTATATAATATATAATATTTTATATAATATATAAAAAATTATATAATATATAAAAAATTATATAATATATAAAAAATTATATAATATATAAAAAATTATATAATATATAAAAAATTATATAATATATAAAAAATTATATAATATATAAAAAATTATATAATATATAAAAAATTATATAATATATAAAAAATTATATAATATATAAAAAATTATATAATATATAAAAAATTATATAATATATAAAAAATTATATAATATATAAAAAATTATATAATATATAAAAAATTATATAATATATAAAAAATTATATAATATATAAAAAATTATATAATATATAAAAAATTATATAATATATAAAAAATTATATAATATATAAAAAATTATATAATATATAAAAAATTATATAATATATAAAAAATTATATAATATATAAAAAATTATATAATATATAAAAAATTATATAATATATAAAAAATTATATAATATATAAAAAATTATATAATATATAAAAAATTATATAATATATAAAAAATTATATAATATATAAAAAATTATATAATATATAAAAAATTATATAATATATAAAAAATTATATAATATATAAAAAATTATATAATATATAAAAAATTATATAATATATAAAAAATTATATAATATATAAAAAATTATATAATATATAAAAAATTATATAATATATAAAAAATTATATAATATATAAAAAATTATATAATATATAAAAAATTATATAATATATAAAAAATTATATAATATATAAAAAATTATATAATATATAAAAAATTATATAATATATAAAAAATTATATAATATATAAAAAATTATATAATATATAAAAAATTATATAATATATAAAAA